GGCTTAGCCAAAGCTACAGCTACCAAAGCGGCCAAAACGAAGATCTACAAAGAAAGCAAAACATTTTATTATTAATTCACTGCTGTCAAAATAATCCAAAAGGAGTAATGATTTACTAACCACTTTCATTTTTGTATTGGGATTTTGTTGTACTCGTTAGATGAGACAATGAGAAGATTCTGGTTTTTGGAATCTCCAGCCACAGTTTATATACCTTTCGAATAAATGGTCCCACCACGGACGTGAACAATGTTTTTATTGCTTCGTTTTATTTTTGGAAATTTAGCACCTCGACCTTTGCGCAACTTCTTCTTGCGCCCCGACGACGATGATGACATAAGCACGCATAGGTGAAGAAAAAGAAGGAGGAAAGAAAGAAATTCGTGTGGCAGCGCGCGTGAACTTGAACTGGGTGCAGATAGAAATTCCGATGTTCATTATCGGATATCGTGGCTGTTATATAATAAAGCTGAGGATTCGTACCATCAGAGATATACACTTTTTAATACATCGATACATAAAAGGAAAGTTAAATGCTTTGACAAAGTCTTGCCGATTTGTAAATTCAATTTTTAAGGAAATTACAATGCTTGGATTCTTGCATCATCTGTATAGTGCACACAAATTAATTTAATTTTTAATCAATTTCTTTCCACCTTAATTCAGTTACGTACAAAATATTGAAACATATGTATAAAAAACGATAATGTTTACATTCTCAGCAAATTCTAAAGATTAAAGCAAAATATGACTATTATGTAAAGTCTATTTATTGTGAAATTAATAAAATTCTAACTCACTCTCAAAAGATGGAATTTTAGAATTTAGTAAATTGACAAATTTTCATATACATTATTGAGTAATTTACTATAACTTTTCCATAAAATCAAAATACTTCAAAATTTGCAAATTAATTTTAAATATAAAGTAGTGTTTGTCTATTTATAGCAATATCTACTATAATTATTAGTTTTTACACAATGAAAGTATTAGTAACTCGTAAAATTAGTATGTGTTATTATGATTATAATTAGAAAAAGACGAATGTTTATGCAGTAAAAATAAGGACTATATAAACATTACTAATATTAAATTTGGCATTGGGGTAAATTCCAGAATTTAAACCTAACAACTTTAACTAGTCTGAAAATTAATATGAAATTAAAATCTATCTATATTTGCTATTTAGCAACATTACAGTAACTGTGTGATATAGAATAAAGGTTTTAATGTCTGTTTATGTTTCTGATTCACATATACTAAGATTATTATTCTATTTCTGGATATATTTGCAAGGTGTCAATGTATAAACAAACGTATTATTATTGTTGTTGGATTGAAATTATACATTTTAAATTTTTCAAAATGGAAAGCGAGCTTGCATTGTTTTTTTTGTTGTTGATTGTTGTTTATGGATAATCCGTTGAAAGTTATTTTGGGATGTGGTCGCCTTCTGGTTGGAATCCGTTCTCATCGGCCACATAATTCACGGTGTAAGTTACACCATCGGCACCTACGAAAGTGAAATGCCCACGAACGGAAATTGCTTCGTTTTCAGTACCGACATTGTTCAATTGACCTTCGGCAGCTTCCGAAATTCCATTGCTCGTTTCGTATCTGCAACAGTGAATATTATTTGCATTCAATGCAGGACGAGCGAGCGAAGAAAGAGGATCGTGAACCGTTATTTGTGTAACTCACGCATATCTAAAACCATCCACGCCGATATTTTCGTTCTCGTATTTGAGGACCTCAGCGTGTTCGTCATCGACGGGTGCGGCAAATGCCACACAGGACAATGCAAATAATGTCATAATCTGTAAGGAAATGTCATGGTATTATTCAGATTTCACTTAAGATGGTTTCCATAGCAAATTCCTAAATAATTGTAGACAAAAATATAATAAAAACCATACGAATCAATGAAGATGAATATATGAGAATACAATTTTGTTAGTTTGAAATTAGGAAAAGCTGTATTTATCCAAGTACTTCAATCATCTAAAGACACCAGTCGTCAAAAATTGATAATTGAAAAAAAGTGATTTAAAAATAGCTGCCATTATATGAAATAAAAGGATTTAAGTTTTTCTACAGTCTAAAATGATTACTAAATATAGTAATAAATTGAAGGAATTCTTCATATTAAATGTATGATTTTTATAACTGTTTACTGTTTCTAATGCACTAATATTAATCCACTAACCACTTTCATGATAATTTAAATGGTGTTAACAGTACTGGACGTTTAAGATTGAACAACCGTTTCATCTTCGAAGATCTTCATATTTATACCGAGTTGCAGTAATGATACAAAGAGTTGTTTCCTAAATAGACAAGTTTCTGTGTTGCCGATGATGCAAGCAGTACTTAAAAAGTATAAATCGTTAATAATAATATTCAATTATCGCCGTAGCAAGAAATTAGAAATAAGTGACTTTGACCATCAACAACAAATAACGCAATACTCGAACTTTAGCTTTTAATTTCTTATACAACAAAGAAGAAACGTCAGTAGGATATAGACATGTATTTATATTTTCAACAAAATGCAATGCAAACTGATTATAAATTTTCTTATTATTAATGATGAAGTATGTTTTTTTTAAATATATATTGAGATTAAAACAAAAATGAAATAAATTTTAATTTTTATTGAGCAATTATGTACAAATTCAGTGTAAAAAGTGTTTAATTAATTTAGTGTTCTGGTTGAGGAATGTGAGCGCCTTGTGGTTGGAAACCGTTCTCATCAGCTACATAGGTAACAGTGTAGGTGACACCATCTGGGCCAACGTAAGAGTATTGTCCACGGACGGCAATAGCTTCGTTTT